TAATTTCAGCTACTGTAACCACTTATTCCTAAATGTCTCCAAAATTTTGAACAAAATTAAGAGTAGTTCTGAGAACAGTGGTCACTGCGGAGTGTTCCACAACTGTAAGAGGGCACATGTGTTGTGTTTTGGTGTTACAGATTATTGGAAGTAAATTGATAATTTCATTGTAAGAAATATTCAGAATATTTGTCTGTCCTTAGGAAATTCTTAATAGCTGATGTGTAATACACCAAACAGTGTTTCATCCACCATGCAAGAAGGTGGAATGGGATGGCTGAGAGATTTCAGTAGGAGGCATATGCCTATATTAGTTACCTTTACGTTTGGAATATCACAGATTAAAATAAAAACCTAGAGATGATACATGTGTATATATATATATATATATATATATATATATAGTCAAGACATAACAAAATTGCCTTCTGGTTTTCCAGATATATGTAACAAGATTTTGGTAGAGGGCTGTAAACCTGGGAGCTCTTGAGAGGTATCAAGAGGAATCAAACTAACAATTGTGTAGTCTTTATGGAGGAATGCTCTCAGTTGCAGAGAACAAGCACTGAAAGGAGAGAGTCAGGTGATTATCTGATTAGCTTTAATCAAGTCACACTTTGACATTTATCCTGAAGTGAAGGGTTTTTGCTTTCATATCTTTATAATTTTACTTTTGCATCGTATTTTTGACATTTTGATAGTGACCAATTATTGTGATTTCCATTGGAAAAATTAGTAAATTTCTAAAGTCATAAAACAAATGTTTGGGAGTACTGATTTTAAAAAGACCATAAGCTAATTCACATCACTTTCATCTGTAATGGTTCTTAAACATTTAACTTAGTCAGAATTCATTCTGATTGAAGGTTCTGTGATTATGAAAAATGAAGAGAATGACAGAATTTAATTATTTTTTTGCAGAATGCCTCCATATTTTGACTTTGAACAAAAGCATCAATAAATTTGTATGAGCTCTGTGTAAAGGAAAAGAGATAATATATCATTTGGCTTAAAAAGTCTGCAATTGTTTAGTTTTCAAAAATCTCATGCATAATCATTCAAATAGAAAATGGAGTAATGGATGATTATATAACTCCAGTATATTTAAACAGGGAAATTTTACCATCTTTTTTCCATTTGTCTCATGATTTTAAACCTGAAAACATTGCCTTTGTTCACTTCTGATCACTTGTGATAACAGAAATAAAGTGAAGAGAGATGTACATTTTAGATCAGATGATAAAATATAAACCCAAGACTATATCCAGTTTCTACTGGTTAAATATTGGAAATTATTGAAAAGATCATGGGAGATAAATTTTACAAGTCTGCAAGAGTATATAACTCAATACCCTCCCCCAGTGCTGCCTCTGGCTATATATGTGTGAATTATCACAGATGCTTACCCATATTTCATGATGACAGAAACACTGGATGTGCCATAGCTGCCATAGCTATTATATTTCAGTGCTAAAATATCCCTAGGATTTTTCCATAGGAAGTTTAACCTCTTCTGCAATTTAAACTCAGTACATTCAGTTGTGTCAATTTTAACATCCGATTTTTCTATTTCTAGTATTTTCTTTCATAGTATTCTGGAAAGCTAAAATGTAATTACATATCTAGAGAGTATAGTATGTCCTTTAACTTTACATAGGAAGCATTGGATATTTCAGTAAAATGTGTACCCTCACAAAGCTACACTTCCACTGTGTTGGTCTGAAACTCCTCTTAGCTGGGGAGAGTGGAATGAAGTCAGGAGAAGAAAGAGGTGCCTATGGGTTACAGTTAGTCTGGCACAACTTATCAGCTGTACTAAAAGCAGCAAAGTTTTGGAAAGTTTTATTACCTATTCCTAAAGGTGACTCTCAAAGGTCTCGTTTGAAGACCTCAGTGTGCAGGAGACATTTTTGAATTAATTTCTTCAATACCAAGTTCTTTCTTTCAGGGAGAGTGTGATATTTGTGTCCAACTTGGTTTAATTTTTTATTAGCTAGTTCATATAAGTTTTTAAAAAACTGGCTCTAAGCTGGCTGAACATGAGCCAGCAGTGTGGCCGGGTGGAAGAAGGCAAACGGCATCCTGACCTGTATCAGAAAGTGTGGCCAGCAGGACCAGAGCAGGGGTCATCCCCCTGCACTCATCACTGGTGAGGCCCCACCTCAACATCTGTGTTCAGTTCTGGGCCCCTCACTAAAAGAAAAACATTGAGATGCTGGAGCGTGTCCAGAGAAGGGCAATGAAGCTGATGAAGAGTGGCTAAGGCAGCTGGGTTTGTTAAGCCTGGAGAAAAGGAGACTCAAGACAGGATGACAGGATGTGGCCTCAAGGTGCACCGGGGCAGGTTTAGATTAGGTATTAGGAAGTTAATTTCTTCATGGAAAGGATGATCAAGCAGTAGAATAAGTTGCCCAAGGAAGTGATGGAGTTGCCATCCCTGGAAGTGTTCAGAACATGTGTGGATTTGATATTTGAGTATATGGTTTAGTGGTAAACGTGGTGGTGCTAGATTAATGGTTGGATTTGATGATCTTAGAGGGTCTTTTCCCCCTTCTTAACAGGACGGGGAGAAAATTAGATAAGAAAGTTTATGGGTCCAGGAGATCACTTACCGCGTATTGTCATGAGCAAAACAAATTCAATTTACAGAAACTTAATTTAATTTATTGTCAGTTAATAATAGAGTAGATTGATAAGAAACAAAAACAAAATAGGAAACACCTTCCTCTCATCCTGGGCCGCACTCCTCCACCTTTCCAGTCTTAAAATCACCTCTGTGATGCGCAATTTATCTACATTCAATGTTACATCTAAAAGTTGCTGTGTGTTTTGACATTTCTTGTGATTTCATGATAAAGATAAATAAACTGTCTAGGAATGATTTCTTTCTGTCAATAGAACATTTCTTTTGTCATTCTTATGCAATGGGTTGTGCAATATCCTAGTGGTTCTTTCTTCCTGCTTTCTTGTATCATCAGTTATTTTCATTTCTTCAAAAAATAATTAATAGAAGATAGCATTTGAATTTCAAAATATTTCACTCTGTCTCTGGTAGATGCAAAAAAAAAAGCAGTACAATCAGATTTACACATGAATATGAGTTTTCATCAAGAAGAAAATATTTAAGTTTTTCCATGTCTAGAGTCTGGAGTATTCTTTTTTCAGGAAAATAATGGAAATCTAAAGTTTTTATTCCATGACAATTGTTTAAAAAATTCCAAGGCAAATTTTCCACCTGCACATCTTAATCTTCTCACTTACACAGTGGGGTGAGGGTGGAGGGTACTGGGGTATTATTTGGTGGGGGTTTTTTTTGATACAAACATAACAGGTCCTACAGAACAACAGAAAGCCAAGAAAATTGCATAAAGAAGGCCCAGAAGCCCGAGAGCTGAATTTGTAGAAAATTTTCCTAATCTATCCCCTGTCTCAAACTAATTATTTCAAGGGTAGAATATTTTCAGGTACGTCCCATTGTGATCTGCATTACCAAAAAAAACGAAAAAAAAAAACAACAAAAAAAACCCAAAAGAATTGCATATGAAAGTGAGGAGTTGGTTTTGTTTCTTTTTCTTTTTTTTTTTTTCCCCCACAAAAGAAGCTGATTGAAAATGATCTGCTAGGGAGATAACAGAGAACTGTTGCAAATCTCATGCCAAAATTACTTCTTTGGCAAATGGGCAGCCCAACTTCTTCTCTAGGAAAGCAACTGTGTTTAGTGGAGATGGTACTCTCTGGAGTACTGGCAGCTCATTGCTGCCTTCCAAGGCTCCTTCAGCAAATTGCATAAATTCCTTATGTTGCAGTTTCATTTTGCAGTTCAGCTATTGGTCCATCTACCTTGTCCGTGACAAACGTGTACAGTATAATCATATAAATAATATATACATATAAAATATAAAATGATTGAATTAACTCACGTTTGTAAACCACGTAGCAAGTTAGTTGACTGAGAATTGGATAAAACATTATATTTCTTCATGAAGTTTGTATTTACTTGCAATGTCTGATCTTTCTGATAATTGCAGTGTTATTATTATATGTTATTATTATTATTTATATTGTATTCTACGAAAATTTTAACTCATATTTTTTCATTCTTTTTTATTTGGTGGGTTTTTTTCACAGAATAATCTCTGTCAGATCAAAATGTCATTTTTGTAGATATGCAAGGTTGTCTTTTTCAGCCATTGTGGAAGATCTTAGAAAAGTCATTTCTATGTGGCAAGATGAATAATTTTCTTCTTTTGGTTTGTTTTTCTGAAAAGTGTATGGAGGACATTTTGATCAGAAGAGTCCATAGTATTTTTTTCAGATTAATTTTGAAATAGTACAGTCATTACTAATCTTTGACATCAGTGCAGTTCTGGGTTATCATATAATCTGTGGTCCTTTCAGGCATATTCTGGTCCTGAAACACACACAATTCAGAACTTTTGTTAACTCCTCAATTGTCACTGTCTAAGACAGCTGTTTTTTCATGTGTCCTGTTAAAATAAATGTAAAGTTCATATTTTAATTCAACATGGAAACACAATACCATTCTAAAAATCTCCTTTCTTACTGCAGAGTTGGAGACACTGACAGAGAAAGCTGTGGAGGTACTGAACTCCACCACCAGCAGAGACAAGTAGTTAATCCTACTGCTGAAGAGAATTTTTTTCTTTGTCTCTACTCTGGGTTTAGTGCTTTGTCAGCTTCACCTTCAGATCCTTTAGTAAATGTCTGTCTAATCTACTGTAGGCAACACAGTTGCCTGCTCCCCTTGAGAGCCAGTGAGTGCACACTTTTTGTTGGTGTTATTAGGACGTTTCAGTAGCCTCTAACCCTATTCATCTCAGCAGACACACTTATGGCTCTGACAATCTTTTCCATTCCTTTTTGGATAAGAGCTAAATATCATTCTAAAATATCTCAAGGCATTTCACTGAAAACATCACTGTTTCAAAAAGCTCAGTACAACTGACAAGACTAAATATGTTTTCCTCTTTTTGTTTTCTAGTAAGTGAGCAGTGGAGCTGGAAAACTTGGCAGAACTCTTTGTCTTTCCTACTTGTATCTGTGGAAACTGGTTTGCAAGGTAAATGTTCCATTTTAATTGACTATAATTGTATACTATTATAGTTTCAGGTGTCTAAAATGACCTCATGATACCTCTAGGTTTTAAAGAAAATGCCCATGCTAAAGCTTTCATCTACACTTTCAACAGTGAATTGTATTAGAATACTCTTACAACTTAAATGCAATTAGTTCCTTTGGATCCATTAACAAATACATCTCCCTCTCAAGAAGAAAGTAAATGTGTGCCAAGATCTAGGTTACTTGTGAGTTTCTGGGCTATTGCTCCAAAATTGCCGTCAATCTGAGTGAAAGAACAATTAAGATGAACGTGAATGCATTTATTAGGTCAAGATGTAGTCTCTGTATTCTGTTATGTATTGGTGATGTTGTGTTTATTGATGATTTTATTAGAAGGAAGACTGAAGGTGATTCTTGAGACCCTTGGCTATATTTGCAGTCTTGCTGTACAGTTTTTAAAATGAGAGATTCTTATTTTTGCTCTTAAACATAGGTTTTAATAATGATATTGGAAAGGTAATCGTGTTACATATTTGGACAATTTAGTTTTCTAGAGTTTTAAAATACATCAGGGAAACTGGCTTGTTTTGAGAATTAATCACATTACCACGGAAGGCTGCTGATTATATCAAGAGAATTATGTCCCTTAATACCTTCCTCAGCTTTGGCTAAGGGTCTAGGCTCAATATTACTCTTTCCTTTGACCCTTTCCTTGTCCCATCCCTTAATTTTATCTTTGAAGTTACCTTAGTTGTCTGGAGGAAAGAATATTCATCTCTAGTCATTCTGCCATTGAAAATGGCTTTTTTAGTCACGGTGAAAAAAAGAGTTTTCAAAAACTCTCCTCTTATATGTCGTAAAGAATTGAACCACAAGCTATGCAAAAGCTGCTCCAAATGTGTGCTTTTAAATGGAGTGCTGAGCAGAAGAATTACCCCCTCTTGACAGAAGTGCCACTATTAGCTGTATGTTCAAAGTGGAAAATTGGCCCCTTTGAAATATAAAATCAGCATCCTTCCTGGCACCTGAAATGGGGGAGTGAATGTTCTACTCTTCAGCATTTGTTTAACGAGCTGAACTCCAAGGCTGTGCATTTTAATATATTGTATTTCTTAAGCAGGGTGAGGAGAAAAAAAATGAATCAGTTTTTGCTGTGAGTGAAACCATGCTATGAGTGGTGACTGTAAAAAAAAAAAAAAAAAAAAAGTAGCAGCATTTCTTTCAGGGCTCCTTCCGAGGATGGAAGCCGTTTGTAAATACAGAAAAAGGATGGCTGGTGTTAGGAACTGCCTTTAAGGTGAGGGGCTAATAGATCCTTGGGGTAGATTAGAGTGAAACAACACTGAAAGATCAGTGTTTATAGGAGAATATATATATATATATATATATATATATATATATATATATATATATATATATGTCCTGATACCTCCCAAGGGAGGAGGTATTACAACTGAGTGTAAAGGAGGACATTCCCATAATAAAAAGCACTATCCTGCCTACACAGTGTCTGCTTCTTGTCAGCCTTCTCTCTTATCTGTCTCAAAACCCAGCTTGTAACCTCCTTGGTGGGTGCTCACTCCTTCTCTCTTATGTGGATCAGAGGTTTAGTCACCACACACCCAAATCCTCCTCCTTCCCTCTGGCTGAGGGATTCGAACCTGGCCCCAGCAAAGCACCCTGCTGCCTCTGCAAATGGCCCATTGTTTGAGTTGTTAATCAGCCTCTCACAGTTGGTCAGTCTTGCCACCTCTCTTTTATCTACTAGAAGTGGCAGAATACTTCCAGTTGTGAGGAAGAGCCCAATCACAATGATTTTCCATGCAGATGCTTAGGCATTGAACAATCAGACTTGCCAGAAAAGTGTGGGTGGTGTTGCATTTCAAAGTGGTGCTGGTGCAACTCCCCAGGCTTCAGGTTGTGTTACATGGGTCTCTTCTGTTTGAGTTTGCAAATCCAACAGAAGTGGGGAATCAGAAGTCTGATGGCTAAAGCCACAATTTTACAAGAACTTAATCACAATTTTCATGATTATGTTGCATTGTGTTTAATGAAAAGTTAGGCATGTACTTAAACACTTGCAGAATTGGAATATATTTGGCTCAATGGCAGCTAAAGAAGTGAGATTGAAAATGATGAGTAAAATTTCCAAAGTGTCTATGTGTGACATAGCAGCAGGCATGAGCTGGTCTTTCTGTGTCATGTGAGATAATTTGGTATCTTAAGCAAGATAGAAATGACAAAAATTAATGTAATGTTTTAAAATACCATTGACAAAGAATATTTAATTTTATTCCAAAATACTCTTATGATGATTTTTTATCCACAATAACCACCTCTGACCTAGTGAACTTCCTTTGGCTGTATATGTAATTAAATCTGAAGATGCTAGTGATTCTAATCAGTTATGTGCAATTTTTGACATTGACATTTCAATAGCAAAACACCATTATTGAGTTTGGAGTTAGCAATAGGTTACTGCCAGTGAGAATAGATTAATCTGTCTTCATGAGGATAATGTTGTATGGGGTAATGAGATGTTTTTAATCAGCCAAAAGGGTGGGTTTAGAGTTGTAATTTGAACATTCTATTTTTAAAAACTTTGGAGAATTATTGTGAAGTAAATTGTCTTTTATTCTGTCTTTTGTTTTCCTCCTTCTGAAAAGATCCATTTCTGCCTATTTAACTTGTTTTCCTAGTGTTAACCAACACTGCTGTAAGAACTGATTTTTACCCTCAGTTTCAGCCTGCCAGGGTGTCAGGTAATTTTTGTATTACCAGATATAGCCAAACATTGTATGAGTGCAATGCTTGTCTAGAAATAATTAACTATTATTCTAAAGTGTTCTATATTCATTTATATTTCTGATGCTTAAGGATCTCTATTTCTTGAGTAACTTCCCTGAATGTGATATATTGAATTTGTATATTGAGGAAAAAATGCATCTCTTTAACAGTCCTAGAGGAGAAAACAAAAATAAAATTTCTAGATGATTGTAATTTTTTTCTGCTCTTTATTCTATGAATCTAGATTTTTAAAAGTACTCATCCAGGGGTGTGGTAGTCTAAGTAGTTAAGGTTTCTCATATCTCTGAGCATACCAGGTCTGCTTGCCTAAAAATAAGTCAAGGCTATCACAACTACTATGCTTTTGAGACAAGAAGCTACTGTTCTCCATTCTGAAACGGAAAATTTGAATAATTGTGTTGAAATGACTATAAGTACATACAATATGATATGTAAATAAAAAGAGTAAATCCCCTCAGGTTTAAAGCATCTAAATTTTAATCCACATGGTTTAATAATCTCTGACAATTCAATCTAGTACCTTCAAAAGTAACAGGTGACTTCAATCAGATCATACAGCCTTAAGGGATCTGATTTTCACTAAATTCTGACCATTCCTTTTATGAAATTCAGGTTTTTTCTAAATTCAAAATGCATACCCATAAAGTCACTTAGAGAGATCTTTGCTTACACTGGATCTGCAAGACTTGCTGATTCTTGAAACTGCCAGAATAAATTAAAAGAATCCATTTCATCCTTTCGGGGTGTTATCTTGAGCCGTTATGTATGCAGTCCTCTGCATATATTTCTCTGAGTTGTAATTGGAGTTATATTCTAATTGCAATAGGACTTTAAGTAAGTGTTAGGATTTATTTGGGAGTCCTTAAGTTTGCTGAATATGAGTGTTGATTTTCCAGATGAAATTCAGAAATAAGTTCTGGAGTATGGACTTGAGGGATATACACTCCAATAGAATCAAAAAATGTTTAAAACTGATGTAAGCAAATAAGACCTTTCTCTGGAGAGATGTGCAGTTCATTCAGTGAAGACGCTCCAGTTTCTTCCCTGATCTCTCCAAACATTAAATCGTGTCTACATTTACAGGGGCCTAGAATTGTTGTTTGGAAAATAGAAACTTAATCTCAGTGTTCTTTGTTTTAGAAAAGTAAGAATGTCAAGCAGAGCCGAACAAAAATCTTAGAGAAACAGTCTGCTGGAAAAAGGAAAGCTACAATTCACAAATAAAATGACATTTTCTTTATGGGTGGAAATGTTGCAAGACTTTGTCATACAACTACTCTGAAGCCACTTCCTATGTTTTGCAGAAGATAAAGAAGCCATAAGAAAAGCTAGATCTGTTGTTTCCTTTCAGTATCAATGCTTCCATTTTCTGTCTTAAGCAATACACCATTTTAAATTGTATATCTTCCTTGAAACAATGAATTCAGTCCTTCTTGACTTTCCTTCATGCCTCACTCACAGTTCTCCTGTGCAGCTTTAAATCTTTCCAGTTTGCATTTTCATCATTGCAGCCCAATCTTTGGTATGGAATTTTAAAATGAGAGCTCATCATAGTAAAGTACTGTGCTGCATTTCATTAATCAGAAAGTATATGAGCAGGAAAAAAAGTAATAACTTTGTATACTATTACTGTCAATACAAGGGTGACACTTGAGCTACCACAATAATAAGAGGTAAAAGGAGACTTCAGCAAGATAATATATGTATCTGTTTAAAACTGAACTAAGTGGGTTGGTTTATCTTGGTGTTGAAAGAAGAATTTTCATACCTAAAACTGGTTTTCTGTTTCTGACTGGCAAATACCAAACCAAACCAGATCAAATTATAAATGATGATCTGTAAGGTACCTTCCACCCCAGCCTGTTCTATGATTCTATGATAAAAAATATGTTATATAACAGCAACCTGCTGATATACAGATTTTTAATAACTATATAGCTGATCTTATTTTTACACTTTGAATTCTTCTACATTTATTTTTAATGTAGCTGTGATTTCTGATGTACCAGTAGAAATTGTATAGAAGATTTCAACATTGTCTCTTTCTTGAAAAACAAGTTTCAGAGCTTTATTTCATCCTTGTTTACTGCATCAGTATGAAATAAATCATCCCTAGACTAGAAGATCATTCCCAGACTCACTGTATATTTAAGTCTAATCATGAAGGCCACTGCCTTCTGCCTCATTTTATTC